GCCCTCTGGTGACGCTTCTCTCCCCGCGCGGGAAGGAGCCGGAGGGAGCCGGCGTGGGCGCGTTGGGAGCTCCCAGCTCGGGTCCCCTTCCGTGCTCCTTCTCTAAAGTTACCGTTTGGTACTCGAGGCCCCCAAAGCAAACCTGGGCTCTCCTGCTGGGCACACGTTACCTCAGAGCCTCCTGCGGCGGCTCTGCAGCTCTCTGCCGTAGGTGGCAGCCTTGGCCACCCTTCAGGCAACACAGCCCCTTTCTTGGGCACTTTCCTTCTCCTTCAGCTCAATACACCTTGATCAAAGGCACCAAGCACACTACTCTCCGCTGGCACTCCCCCTTCTTGTCCTTGTGCTCACAGATATGAGCAGCTCCCATTTATACTAGTAGTGCACCCTGCTAACTCTCCGAATTGCCTTTTCCACATTATGTCTTTTAACTTTCCTAGATCTAACCCAGCTATAATGCAGCACTTGCTCTTTTTCATAGCTTCTTCCCATTAAAGTATGACAGGTCCAATACAACCAGGTATCATTCTCTTCTTGAAGAGATTTCAATTCATTTTAAAAATCTTAGCACTTCATGCACTTCGTTTGCTCACCACCAGCAGTTCAGCTGCAGTTATTACTATGTGATTCTAGTCCTGAGGTGTTATCTTACATATCAGTGACACTTCAGCTCTTTTATGGTGTTTTTTTTTTTTTTTTCCAGTCTCCAGTTATTTTTAATGAGTTTAAGCCCAGTAGAGACAACATAGCTGACAGTGTTCATGGTAGTAGGTACCTGCGTACAAGACAAGTGATTAATGAGTCAAAGAACAGAGATTAAGGTTCACACATCCAATGCATTCCAGCAATACACATTTCCTAGAAGATGATCTTTCCACCCTCAGCTCTGTATGTAATTCTGTATCTTAGGTACCATAGACAACTTCAGATTATTATTACCCCCAGCTTGTGCTTGGCTCCCATATGCTGTCAAAGCCTATTCAGGCCACTGCTGCTCAAGTTGTCATGTGGATTTGCCACATCATAGAGCTGTATCGTGTCCCTGTGCGTTTGCACTCCCTCCTTAAGACAGGCTGCTTTCTTAATTCCCTGTCCCTACCTTTGTAATCCTACAGAGGCCTCTTTTCTCCTCAGTGAATCCTGCATGAAAGGGAAGCAGTCAGCGAGACCAATCCGTTATCATCTCTTTCTCACCAAAAAGGCTTTGTTCTTTGTTCCACGCTGCCCCATTGCAGATGCTTTGTCTAGAATCTGGCCTGTCTACCTCTTAAGGCTGATTCCTATAATAAATATTAGCATAAATTGCCACTAAGAACAGCTACAGAGCTGCCCAGGGGGAACTTACATAGTCGCATTTTTCCTGAATATCAAGTACCTGATTTGTTTACACAAGTCATTTCTACTCTTTCACTTATCCCCCTTCTATAATAATCCTGCAGAGGTTGCTATTCCTATTCCAAGTACTTTAACAATACAAACAAGCAAAAAATCCATCTTAATAGCAGCATCTACTTTCTTTCTCCCCTTTTTTCAGTGTTAGGAACTACACCGCTTTCTAGTTCTGAAGTTTCACATGTCATGTTTTCACACACACTAAGTTTGGCTAATAAATCCTCCTCTGTCTCCACCAGGGAAGTTTATCACCAACCTTTTCCAAGGGCAGACAAAGAGAAACTGCCCAGGAAAGGGGCACCTTCAGTATTCCTTACTGATGGATTAATCTTAAGGCTTCAAGGTGTCTAAGCACAATAAAAAACAATACTTTTTACAAGAAGGAAAAAACAAGTAAGTAAGAAACTTCTGCTAGCACTTCTTAATTTCACCTGTATACTTTGTTGTTATTACATTTCTTATCAAAAAGTTCATCATACATTCCAGGGTTTCCTGTTCTCCACTGTTGTTCTGCTATCTATGTCAAAGAACTACAATTAGATGATTTTGTAATAGATTTTCAAGAACAGCTAAAAAAGCCACAGGGAACAGAAGGGGACCATTAGATTATTTTTCTCCCTGTATTTAAAAAAAAAAAAAAAAAAAAAACACATAGTTCACTTTCAAATCAGAGATATCTATTTGGAATTAATCTGTATACTACCACCTTAGGGAAACAATAGGGTATTTCCAGAAAGTACTTCCCATACTGGCTACCACAACCTTTCCAAGCCGAGCAATCAAAATCACAAGCCAGAGAACAAAAACAGATGAGAGCAACTTAATACTCCTTGATTTGTAAAGCATGATAGGTATTGAGCTCATTTTGCCTACATTTCAACATGAAATATGAGGTATCACATATCATATTCATACATTAGGAGTTAACTTTACATAGACATATATAGACAGGTTTTCTCATGACCTTTTCACACTAAAATTAAAATTTTAAATAAAGTACAAGAAACCATAAGACATTCAGGAACACAGGCATAACTGGTGAAGGGCATAGGAATGGGAAACCAAAATAAACATATATATGGCAGCATGGAACCCCCATTGTAAAGATCTAGGATAAGTGTTATTCTAGATCTGATGTGCTACAGATTTGAATTTTAAGACTCCAAATCAAAAATGTTAAAAAGCACTATAGTTCTCTGAAACACAGATAGCAAGGAGGCTGATAGCCCCAGACCTATTAAAAACAATTTTTTTTTTCCAAAAAGGAAGCATGTAGATTAATGCAAATGCAAAACACCATTAATTTAACCTACATCAAGGACTCCAAAACTGTCCATTAAAATATTCAATAGCTATAAAAAACTGTTACTTCTGACCAGAAAGCTCAATGTATCCCTATAAAACCACATTCACATAAGCACAAATGAACAGCATAAACATCTTTTTCCAGTACATCCTGTGTGACCTCAGTTTAATCATCTGAAGTAAGGAACACTCAAGCCTTCCATCAAAAAACAAAACAAAAAAAAACAAACAAAAAAACCCCACTACCCTCAACACCACAATTATCCTCAGCACAGAACTGCTCATACAATACACACAAACCCCAAAGGGGAACCTATGGAGCACCTTAGGAGGAACACCTGCAGACAAGCTATTTAAGAACCTTATTTATTGCATGTGTGTGGGGGTGTTAATTAGCTAAAAGGTACAACAGCTGGTTAGGTCCTTCCACGTGGTATGAGCTGCTGTAACAGTTATTGCTAGAAATTTCTTTCTTTAGCTATTCTCTGTCTCTATTTGAGGCTATGTTAATGTAGCAGTTGCTCAGCATTGGTCTCGCTTTGAAATTTTCACTAGGTAATGAGGGGGAAAAATATCTTGCTTGCCCACTGTTTAAGAAGATGGTGTTTTCCTTATGTAGCTACCTAAATGTAGCTATAGTTTATCTGCAATGTGAAGTTAAAAACTCCATTTTTAATAAACTAGATCTCTGATAGCAGTTGCTATCTAACATCTGAAAATCTGTCTATGAGCCCATGCAACAGAAGATGCAGAGAAAAAGTAAGGATGAATCAGAGCTTGTAAATCACGTATAGGCTCTAAATCAAATACAAAAAATGTTTACTGCAGTTAAGGAAATACGTTTTCTGTATTTTCACACCAGCATGTAGACATCATGTACTTCTTAAGTGTTTTCTACAGTACAACAAATTCCCTGTCCAGTAAAAGCCTTCGGTTTATTGTCTTATGGGAGTTGAGGGTCCTGTTTAGCAAATTACTAGTCACTGCTGACCTCAGTAACAAGTAAGTAGTGATGGCGGTTCCAGTTATATCTTCCCAGTTGAAGATTTTTTTTTCCTAATATGCCATAAGAAGTCATCCTCTTCCCCTGTTCATTTTGAAAAACAAAATGAACTCAGTATGGCCTTTTCAAAGTTTACAGGCCTTAAATTTCAGAATATGTTAGTTGGTAATTCAAGGGGAAATTTATTAGCTAGTAGGAATTAAAATGTAAAAAGAGAACACAGAATCTCATGCCAAACCCTTGTTACTTTAAAATTCTCAGAAACAATCCTGTCTCTTTTATCAGCTTTCAGGTAGTTAGAATCACTGCAATCTTACACAACCAGTACTTCGGAGAAATCTCCAGGCTTATTGATAAAAAATGTCTATTTTATTTTCCTTCTCTCTTAATTTTATTTTTTATTTGCATAGATTAAAATGACATTCTGCTATTAAAAGTTTCACAAAAAGTTACTGTTGCAAAAAGCATGCCTAAATTTTACTGCTCTATCACTTAGTCTAATTACCTGTCCTCATCCTCAGATTGTCAGAGTTCAGCAGAACTTCCCGTTCAAAAAATCATTGCTTTAATTTTGCTTAGTACG